GAACCCTCACGTACCCCACGCGAACCTCGCTCGGCATGTCGGTGGAGTCAAAGGTTAAGATAATGTTATTCGTGGGGACCGTGCCTCTCCTCGCCAAGATGCGGTGTGCTGCTGTGACGCCAAAGTCGGCGAGGCCGTCTGCGATGTCGTCATTGCTCACGTCTCTGAGGTCAAAGCAGTTGATGACCCCTCTGCTCGAGTTCTTTGACCTGTGCGGCTCAACTGAGAGAGGGACAGAGACCAGCTTCCTGCCGGAGGCCCGTCCCTCGGTATACACAAATCGGGTGGCGCTTAAGGCTTTTGCAGCCTCCTCACTTTTCTCGAATTCGACTTCCAAAGCCCCATCGCGCATCCGATCGCAACGGAGGATCTTGCCGAGGCGGTCGCAGCCGTCCTTCCGTTGGAAGGGGGACAGCGCACCCAGCTGTTTGTCACTGCTCCTGAGGATAAGGATCTTTGGGTTTCGAGGAACCTTCTCGTGCGACGTTCGCCCGCCGGCCGAGGCCAACGGGCGAGAATCGGCCGAAGCCGAGGGGTTGGATTGAGGGGAAGGGGGGTTGGTCCGGTCATCCATGTAAGTGTGCTTGGTCTCCGCCAGCTCGGCCGCCGACGCTCCGCAACGGCGCCGCTACAAGGCCTGGGACGGCCGAGCTGACTGTACGGGACTTGGCGGCACCTTCCGCGGGGGAGAGAGAGACTCACCACCCCCCACGGTCGGATACCGCCTCCTCCCTTGACGCCTAGCCGAGTCACCGCCAGGGGCAGCGACAGATCAGTCCCACCGACGGAGGACGAGCACAAGTGCCCGAACCCCGCCGGCGACACCTCTCCGACACCACCCCCGGCGGCATCACGACTGGAAATGGCTCCTCAAGTGCGGCGCCCCACTGAGTGTCCCGCCCTTACAGAACTCAGGGCCAAAGAGGCGTGTTGCCCAGCCACCGCGACTGGCTCCGCACGGTGGGGGGCTCAACCTCCAGGATCCCGTTGTCCTGGGGTACGGGTCGGCTCGCCTAGCCTAGTAAAACCGGCTGGTACCCGAGGGGACGCCACTCCCCTTACACTAGCCCAACTCGGCTGTGTTCCTGCGGGTGCAAAAAACAACGAAAAAAGGGGGAAAGGAATCAGAAAGCTGTGATCGAACGAAACGCGGACATCCGGTGAGAAGCAAAGCAAAAGCAAACAAAGACCGCTCAAGAGAAACATAACCACGGAAACCAAGAAAAGTCGGGCCGTACCGTCTGTCCATCCAGTGATCAAAAGCAAATCGTAAGCAAGCATGGGTCAAGCTGGGGCCGAGGGGGCGCTACTCCCCTTGCTGGCCGAGGCCAGGGCCGCCGCGGGACGAGGGCCCAATGAGCCCAGTCCAACAGCGACCCAGGCCACAGCCAACCCCCTGCGGGGCCAATCCAGCAGGCAATCCATCCGGCAACCAAAGCAAGTCCAGGTCAAACGCGCGTCAAGCTGGGGCCGAGGGGGCGCTACTCCCCTTACTGGCCGAAGTCACAGCCGCCGCAAAGCCGGGGCCAGATGACCTCGGCAAAGCAGCAGCTCTGACCACGGTCAGCCCCCTGCGGGGCGGGATGGGTCTTACATCCTCATTGACATTCGGATCAAAACATAAATGAATTTAATGGTCACTTGTAGCAACAATTGAGCCATTTGACGGCACATGGATTGGACAACGGGCCGGTCACGGACTCACGAATAAAAATGAATACGACCTCCTTGGTCTAGTCCCGTTTTGTCCCAGCATGTCAGACCGGCTTGGCGTTGTCGGTCGGCACCGTGAGTCTGTAACTTTTAATACAAAAGCTCTGTATATGTATAGTTAGTGTGAAGAGTCGGTAACGAACCAGTGCTGTCAACTTTGGGAGTCGTTTACACAACACTGCGAAGACGTTAGTCCAGATGCCACGGGCCACCGCAAAAATTCATGCATGTGACTTAAATGACAATAATCCGGGCCTACAGGGTCGCTAATCGGGGTTACGGAATTGCATATCTATAGAGTACGAAGTGTCTGAGCGACGTTATAATTACATCTTTTTAAACTTATGACCTTTCAGTCACGCGTACATGTAAGTAGAGGTACATATATAAATTATGGAAGCCAGTTTTATTTGAAGACAAAATGCGATGATAGATTGCTCTGTCTCTTAACTATAAAAATCCTGAGCAGTTATAGGTAAATGAAAAATGTCGTTTTTTAGATTTCACGTCTTAAGTGATAAGAACAAGGCAGATCAAAATATCTCGCACGTAGATTTAGCGATCGCGGGTGGATAGCACGGCCCTTTCGAGTGAGAACCGCGCCAGCAAACTTGTCATCACTGCCAAACTATACCCCGACGACTGTGCCAACGGTCAATGGGGAAGTAATTGAAGAGCGGTGAAGCAACAGCACCAGCCCCGCCTGCGCAATATGACAGACTGGCCGCTGTTAGAGAGGGCCTCCTGGGACGGCCGCTGTTGCAAGTCAGTCCAGACGGGAATAGCTGTCGCTGGCGGCGGATGAGCGACACTAGCGACGCTGCTCAGGATAATAGCAGCACGGGTTGTTTCTATGAAAGGCCCCGCTTAGCAATCGCTCATAATAGCACAGTTACGCAACTTTGAAGGGCGGTAGGCATGGGTTTTGAACGGCCCGACGCCATTATCAGAAGCCCGACACGAAGCTGAGCAGTGCGCAGCGTGGGCCGCTCAACAATAACCTGAGGTTAAAATACTAGTTTTTGCACCGAGCAACTGAGTCACTGACCCTTCACACGTTTTCTTAGCACAATGCCGGTCGTAGCCCGAAATGAAGCAGAGATGCTCCATGCCCGCAAGTGCAGAATTTGTGACACACAACCAAGAAAACTGCAGTATGCAGAAAAAATGAATCAGTTCCTTGGTGTCAAAATTTCACCATCTTGGCTCTAACTATTCTAGAACCGTTTCAAATCAAACGTGTCAGGCGCTCAAGAGCTACCGTGCGAATAATGGCATTGTCCGCCCTATAAGTCGATGGCTGTTATCGCTAGACAGATTTGATATTTCATTCTGAAGGCAATAATGGGCTAAGCCACCCTTCTAGATGAGGTTAAAGTGACCATCCCACCTAACATTAGTTTTGAGTTGAGATAGCCAAAAAAAAAAAATGGGTCCCTGGCTTGCACTTACCGGTTTGAGCACTCACTACATCGAAAAATGCCTCAAATCGAAAATATCTAATTTCAAAGTTGCAGCACTTTGGATTCAGAGGGGTTAATGCATTAGAATGCCCCCTCTGAATGTGCGACGTCACCGCAGATCAAACGATTTTAAATATTTTATTAAAACGTTTGGTAGCACGCGGTGGTATATGCTGCTTTGCGCGCAACAAGAGCCGCACTTTCAAATAAAGTCGCTAGGAACAGCGGAGATCCCAAAAAGTAAACAAAAGTAAAAGTATAATATCTTGAAAACCGGTGAATATTTTTCAATGAAATTTGGTAGATATTCGTTTTTGCTCTTTCTGAACCGAGAGACATCACTTTCATGCCAATTCATTAACTTTTTTGAAGGTGGGAGGGTCCCTTTAACCCACGAGCCGCTGGGGGGGGGGGGGCATAAAGTTGCCCCCCCCTTTACGTTTTGTGAAATATCTCTGAAACCTGATGAGCTACTAACGTGAAACTTGGCATAGCTTCTAATGAATACCTAGGCAATGTTTGAGGAAAGTTTGGTGGTTGTAGCACCTAAGATGACGTCACAGTGACGTCATAAAGTTTTGTCGTTTTCCGATATGGACCGTTTCTGATGACGCTAAGCATGAAACTCGACTGCAAATGAACTAGACAGCACCTGCTGTCATCCTAAAACATCTTACTACACTTCCATCTAGTTTCTGACCAATAATCGGCCCTTTATATTCGGTCCCATATATGTGATGTATCGTGAGGAATATGAGAGTCGCAAATCTATAATTTCGCTTATGACGTCACTGTGACGTCATTTCAAATGGGATCGACACCAAATTTGGACACAACCTCGGCTAGGTATTCAGGAAGATGTGTGCAAAGTTTCGCTTCTCTATCTCTTCGCGTTGCGACGATATCGTCGCAGAAGTAAAGGGGGGGCAACTTTATGCCCCCCCCCCCAGCGGCCGGCGGGTGGCGCGGAGGCCCAGCGGCCGCCGGGTTAATTAATCCATCAATCCTCCATCCACAGCGGCCAGGAGTCGAAGACTGAGGACGGTCGTACGCCTGCGAACGCCGGCTTGTCATATAAGTCGAGTGGATACGGGACGCCAACTGCCCATGCCTGCTCGGTAGCATGGTGCACCGTCCACCCAGAGTTCCACAGAGCAAGAGTGTGCGTGTGATAACACAGTGTTGGTGCAGTTGATTGCATGCAGTGTTTGTTACCTAAATGCTGTAACGGGTAAACTGATGTTTTTTTTCGCAACGATCTTTCTTTGTTTTACGTAACTCAATTGCTAACCAGGCCAATGAAGAGTTTTCATGTCGGTTTGTGTATAGTGTATATTTTTCCATCATCAGCCACACAAGATGATCGTTCACTACATTCATCCGGGCCTCGTCAGCCACTGATTCCATTCGATATACATTTATGGCTGCTGACCGTCTTCAGCAAATTATAACTGAATGTGATCCATCACTTAGACGCGCGCCGTCGAGCTACGCGTCTCACCCACAGTAGAAAACCGGTGAATATTTCTCCATGAAATTTGGTAGATATTCGTTTTCGCTCTTTCTGAACCGAGCGACATCACTTTCATGCCATTTCATTAACTTTTTTGAAGGTGGGAGCCGGGAGGGTCCCTTTAAGCAAAACAAAAAATCGTTCCCACTCAATTGCATAAAGCTCTCACGCCCACGCCCCCGTCCCTGTCCCTGTCGTCACGATGTCGCCGAGGGGGGGGGGGGGGAAGCCGGCGCGGTGCGCGGCTCGATGGGGGGGGGGATGACGCCTGGTGCCTGCGGCGGCGGCGGCGGCGGCGGCGGACCGCTCTCAGTGGCTGCCGGAGCGCGCTGCCGTGGGGACGACGGGGAGGGCCGGCGACGGACGGTGAACGCACGTCTCACGGTGGATGGAGAGCCACGCGACAAGGCAGCTCGACATGACATCGGCACGGTAGGTCTACGTTGTGCATGCGAAGACCATTATATGTACAGGGTGCCGTGTACCGAAAAAGTTAACCCACGAAAACTTCAATAAAATTTTTACTTCAGCAGCAATCCGCTTCATTTTCACACTCTGCTATCCCAAGACATTGGGAAGTATATAGCGTACTTTGTTGTAGCAAAACTTGTTCATTTTTGTTTTTAACAGTTACAGGTGCATTAAAAAAGGTAAAAACTGCGATTTTTCACATGCACGAATGAATTCAACGAACACCACCAAGAGTTTTTTTTTCTGAGGATAACCAGTAACCACCCACATCCCTGCCTCAGCGCAACAACAAACAAAAACGATGCCTACTTTAGTTAGCAATGCTTTGCAAGCAATGCTTCGCAGTTCTTCAGTGCCTGAGGTGCTTGATATTCTGTCACATCTGTTCAATGTTCAGGCAGTCGTGAATGCATTTATACCTACCTATTGGTGCACTTTGGTCAAAGGTTTCCATACAGTATTTCCTTCATTCGTACTCGCCACTCGGCGTTGCTATTGAGTTGACAAGGTTGACTGAAAATCCGATCTCCGATGAACATTGCAGTATTAGTGGATACGCATTTTGCTTCTATAGGTTTTTCATGCAGCTTGCGAGTTGTTAAACGGGTCAAATATAGGCGCTAACCACGGCGGTGCTGAATTCACTTAACCCTCGCCGGACCTATTGGTTTTCTACATACGCGCCGGCCGAGGGGGGGGGCGGGTACGACCCCCCCCTCGCCGTTTCGCCCCTGGTGGAGCTAGCGCGTCGCGGAAAAAAACGAGCGTGTGCGCCGTTACGAGACGCAGAGATTGGTACCCGATTTTAAGGTCCTAGGTCAACCGGTGACCTCTGAGGTCAGGTCAAGTGCCCCAAGGTACGGTTCAGTTTTTGGTAAATAACTTCGCAAAAAACGGCCGCAGAGCGCCGATTTTGGCAGCATCGTGTTCGCCTCGCTCAGGCGCGTCGAATGATATACTTTTTGTCTGGGTCAGGTCAACTTGGGGTGTTGACCTCAGGTCAAGGTCAGGTCAGCACCCCCAGGTCACGAAGTTGGTCGGAAGAGGTCATGTCGCATATCATTCGATTTGGCAGGTCTTCCTGAGTCCATTGGTGGCTTTCCCGACTCGCTAGCTCAATTTGATCAAGAGTTATTGACGAAAAACTAATATGACCTTGATGACGTCGTAAGTGACGTCACGCAAGGTCAACATTGCAAAAGTGACGCATCTAACCTTGCAAGGAGTGCATCAAATCACGATTCTGTGTGCTTGAGATAGTTGGAGATCGTTCCCGGCGCCAGAGTAGCAGTTTTCATTTTTCCCCATTGACTTATAATGGTGAGGTCACGAAAATGACCTGACCTCATATGACCTTTAGGAAAAATCCGAGATATACAAGTTGTGGGACTCATAATGGATACTAGATCCTGCAAGTTTCATTTCCCTGTGACATCTCCTCTGGCAGTGAGGGCGTTGCGAAGTTGCGACATCTGAAGACCGTGCAGAGGTTCACTTATGACGTCATAGGTCAGTGACCTGACCTGACCCAAAAATGCGGTTGGTGTCAAAAGATCGGGCTTGGATCAAGGGTCAGGTATGCCAAGTTTCAGCTCTCTATCGCCAGCGTGTTCGGAGCTATCGCGAAAAAAAACCCTTTGGGGGGCGGGACCCGCCCCCCCCTCGGCCGGCGAGGGTTAAAGTGACCATCCCACCTTAACATAAGTTTTGAGTTAAGGTAGCCAAATTGGGGCCCCTGGCTCGCACTTACCAGTTTGGGCACTCACAACATCGAGAAATGCTTCAATTCGGAGATATTGAATTTCAAAATGTTGCAGCGCTTTGGATTCAGAGGGGCTAATGCATTTGAATGCCCCCTCTGAATTTGTGACGTCAGTGCAAATCTAGTGACTTTAAAACATTATACTAACATCAGGCAAGTACCCAGGATTTCGCCCAGGAGGGGGCCACCTGCTTCCGAAGGGGCCCTTAGGTCACCCGGGGGCCCCCAGGCCGCCCAGGCCACCAGGGGGCCCCAGGCAACCAGGGGTCCTCAGGGGTCCTAGGCAACCAGGGGCCCCCATGCGACCAGGCCCCCGCTACCAGGGGCCCCCTTGGCGACTAGGGGCCCCAGGCGATCAGGGACCCCATGCGACCAGAGGCCCCCATGCGACCAGGGCCCCCTTGGGCGACTAGGGACCCAAGGCAATCAGGGGCCCCATGCGACCAGGCCCCGGCTACCAGGGGCCCCCTAGGCGACAAGGGGCCCAGGAAACCGGGGGCCCTCGGATTACTGCAGGGGCCCATCGGGTCATCAGGGGCCCCTCGGGTAACCAGGGGCACATAAATGAAACTTTGATATCATTTTTTTATTCCTAGTAAAAGACGTTTTATCCAGTGTTTGACAAAAAATATACCGGGGCCTGAGGGGCCCCCTGAGCGCCTTCGGCGCTCAGGAGGGGGCCATGGCCCCCGTGGCCCCCCACCTTGGGTAGGTACGTCACTGACTAACATCTTTGTGAAGCAGCAATCGCACATGCAGTATATGCTGCGTGCAACATCTGCCGCAAAAGCCGCACTTTTTAAGATACCAAATTACTGCTTCCAAATGACGTCAGCCTGTAACGTGCAGATTTAGATAATAAGCTGAAGCAGCACAGGTGCATTGCAAAGCAGTAGGTATGTGGCTATGGTTTCACAAATTTTCTGTCTGCCTAGTTTTCTCGGATTTAGATAAAAATGCAGGCAGGACCGACATTAACTTGTGTGTTCTTCTTACAGTCGGTGACAAACCTCGAGGAGGATCATCCCTTGCTGTGTGGCGGTGCAGTCAGTGCCTAAGATCAGCAAATTAGATCTGCCTAATGATCTCGCGATCCAAGGCCGAGGGCGCCCAGCCACTGACGCTCTCACGACGGTCAGTTGGAGTCATCACTCTACTTCTGCTCGGTAAGTTCGCCAATACTTGAGGTGAAACGCATTTTTCTTCAGTTTTGTCATTTCGGTTCATTTTATTTTAGTTTAAAAAGCTACTCGGGAACGTTTTCGGCTGACAACGCTCATATTTCTCTTTTTCTTCACTCGTGATGCACTATGCGCGACACGCGCTGTGCAGTGACAGCAGTGTGCGAAATCATTCACCGGGCTCAAAGAGATAGTCTGGGTAAAAAGGATAGGCTGATTTACGGGACAGTAAATTACGGCAACGCACGAATATAACACAATGCGGCCTTGGGTTTATCAACCACGCATGGTTGCATAGCAGAAGCTCCGTGCGAAAACCGTCGCCACAGCCGGGTCGGTTCGGGTCGCTCATATCCATTGATGGATTTTCCGATATATTGGACAGCATTCGCGCTCAATCGTTCAAACCTATGAATATATCAAGCTTTGGAGATATTTCATCAGAGGGCTATCTTCAATTTACGGTTTGGGTGAAGTAGGTATACAAAAAAAAAACGCACTCCCAGCACTTAAAACCTTACAAACGGAGTTTTTTCGAAAGCGATAGATGCACCTGACGACCTTACACTTGACCTTTGTTATGTTCATGCCTGGACAACGACCTGACCTACTGGTAGTCACTGTTGACACACATGTCTCAGCTGCATACCTCGAGGTGGCGTGTGCGTGCAATCGGTGAGGGGGAGGGGCGGCTGAGTGGCATGAATTGGGTGGGTGGTAAGGACCAGGCACCAGCCGCCCCCCGTGTGGTCAGTCTCCGTGTGATCGGTCCCTTGGCCGGCGTGCCGGGCCCCTCGGCACGTGTTTACTGCTCTGCTGTCGTCCAGAGTGACCCTAATGCGCCAGTGCCGCGCGCCAGACGCCGTCCGTAATTACGCCGAACAGGGACGGCGCCGGTCACGCGGGGCCGGACGCAATTAGTTGTGTGGCTGTCAACGGTACGCGGAATCGGTATCGGCGGATACTACGACTTTAACGGCACGAGTCGGACTGAATCTGAGCTAAGCTGCGTGAAATTGCGTCCGTTTCTATCTGCCACACCGTTATATTTCGATTTTGTGTACTTTGTTTAGCACCTAGACAGACGGTGGTTGCTTCATCCGTGTTCCGTAAGCTTGCCCGTGATTATTTTTCGACAAATATATGCAATGCGGACATATTGTGTGTAATATACAATTATACATGCTAGTGTTTTGCCGTCCAAGCGGCGACAGTCGAAACCTGAATCAGTAGAGGTAGGTATACTGTGCCGCAGCACACGTATGTCCAAAAACGCTCACTAGATGGCTCTGCTAACCGAGCGCCTGATGCATGCTGTGCCGCAGTGCCTGCGAATGCCTGTCTACCGCGACATAGCCGAGCTCGGGCGTCTTACCATTCATTGACGATTGTCACAACAGCATGAACAAAACTTCAAATGAAAAACTGAAAAATATAGTTAAGCCGCCTACAAGATGACGTTTACACTACAGCCTATAGGTACCTGAATGCAATATAGGTATCTTCAATGGTTGGATGCAGTTAAACGCGCCTCCAAGTCTATTCTTGTCGTCCCTCTGACATAGGTAAGCCTACTCCAAAATGTGTTTACTAAGCGTGAGATGTCTGAAGTTTTTAATACTTGTACTGACTGAAGGTATGAGAACTGAGAAGGAAGGATTTGTTTAGTCCTTCCTAGGACAGAATTTAGTTCTTTATCAATTTTATGTCATCACGACGGTTTTTGGTGAACACATGGTATTAAGTAAGGTAAAAATTGAGCCGATATATGTACAGTTAATCAAAATTGCATCCAAGGTTTCCGTTAGATAAAGAAGCGTTCTGCCCCACCCCCAACCCACCCACACACATAATAAAGGCCAGCTTTATGCCGTTCGTAATAAATCGGAGTTATCCTTTCTGATCACCTGATGCGGGATTGAGCGGCGGTCTTTAGGTGGCCGGTCCATTGGCCTCCATAAGGCGGCCGAGTACTATCATCTATAACGGGCCGTACTATAGGAGACGCGCGCTGTCGGTATTATGACAGGGACGCCACTTGATGCTGATCCTTAGCTCGGCAATATCCATCAGACCGGGCCAAATCGCTCTCTGCGGCCGGGCGGCGCGGCACTCGCGGACACTCGGCAGGGTGCTACAGCACCCCGGAGTGCCTCTCGGCGGCGGCAGAGAGGTTCGTCAGTCGGGCCGACCCTCGCCAAGTGACAAATACCCGCCAGCTATTTGCAGTTTGTCACCGAGCCTCACGGCCATGGGCGACCGGTCCCGTCGTAATAGCTCGACTCCAGAGGCCGGGCGGGAGCTTTTCCGGCGTCTACTGGTCATAGAAAGATCGTCCAGTTTATATCCCCATTTTCGCGAATTTGTAAAAATTAAAGTAAATAAAATGACATTAATATTTCGAGCGTTGTCCTCACTCGGGATCAAAGCGAAAAAGGTAGAGTGAAGCTGGTCAATGGTCATACAAAATGTCAGCCCAGAGGCAGACGCTTGCAAGTCGGTCATAGGGATGTCTGACCATCACGATGAGCATATACGGGTCACTCACATTGGAGGAGTTCAACTCCCGGGAAGAGCGGTTACTGGGCCATAGAGCTAGACCCCTGGGACGGGCGCTTACCGGTTCGGCCAATGGTGGAGCTGGAGGGTCGACTCCCGAGACGGACGGTTACGAGCCGTTCAGCTGCGATCGCGGTCGACGACCACCGATCTGCCCACGCCGACCGGTCACCGGTGATGAGCTTCATAATTAGGCGTTCCAGTTGCCGGGCGGCCAAGTTGGCCTCAGGGAGCTTTGGTCGACAGTCGTAAGAGTGACCAGTGACCACTGACGGCCGGACCGACCGAGACCGGTGGTCAGGTTTTCGGAGATAGATGGTAACAGTCGGAGAGCGTTAGGCGTATTCAGGACAGCATCAGAGGTGATCGGGGTGGTATTAGAGACGATTTAGGCAGCAGCAGAAGTGAAGAACCCCGACTATGTAGACGTTAGAAGTTATATCGCCTGTAGATAAAGGTATGCGATGCGGTCATTTCATCCTAACGGCAAATACCATTTATTTGAGTATAACATTTTCTTTGTCCTTCATTCTACGTGGTCAAGAATCGTATCTATTTGAAATATATTTAATACAAGTCAGAAAAGAAAATACTACGCGTTTAAAGACGATCACCCGGCCCGCAGTATTTTCCGATGGGTAATCTTATATTTTGAGTCCGGTTTTAGAAAATCTGGTGATGTTTATTGTTTATGTTTCGTTTGAAAGTTTCAAAATCATATGGCACGAGGTACGGCTCTCGCGAGATTAAGCGGTAGGTTTTGCACTTTTACATTTCCGGTTATATCTCAGAAACTAATCGATCTACGATGAAGCCATTTTACAGGACCATGGCCGGCTTGTGAACCAACAAGTCGATCACATCGTCAGACCTTAGATGGCACGAGTTGGCCAGTTAGATGGTCTGACTAAATTTTCTAGGTGCAAAACCTACCGCTAAAACCCGCGAGACCTGTACCTTGCAAGAAACGACTGAATGCTGGAGCATATACTGCCTTGGCTGGAGCGGCGTATGATGCAATCGATGCAATGAATGAATGCAATGAATGCAATGTTCCATTTCAGGGCCACAGGGCCTTGCATTTCGGCGTGACGCAAGTCGTGGCACGTGCCGTATTCAATCGTTCGTCCCGCATAATCGAATTCGAGTGAGAGCTCCGTGCCGGGCCTGATGATATGCGGAGCTCATTGGTATTTGCGGATGCTCGGTTCGCCCACCAAAATATCCTCCTGAATAGATTTGAAGGGAGTGGCCGATATTGGCTTCATGATATGACCTCTGCGAACTATCTTGGCTTTCAGCTGTTGGGTTGGGTAAAATTTCCGTCACGTATAGGTACTGCCATCGTTAGTTTCACATCTGTTAAAATGGTGAAAAATTTATGACCTGCCATATTCCTGTTGTAGACAGCATCCTTCACATATACCTACCTACTCGACTTGTTTACATTTGTATACCTCAGGCTGTTGCAACTATTCATGTGGGTAATTTTGCGACGCAGTTCACAGTCTAATCTCAGCTCCGAACTACTGTTAACTCTCACCAGACCTAACGACACTCAGCACTAAGCACATAAGCTCCAGACAAGGGGAGAAGTTCTTCTAAACCACTTGTCGTTTCACCACTAATTCTGCTTTAGTTTGGTGGGAAAACGAGCGTGTTGCTTCGCACACAAGACGCAGCGACTGGAACAAATTATTGATAATTAATTCATTTTAACGAGTGCCGTAAGAGATGAAGCGACGAAAATATATTTTTAGAATCTAACGGTTATTTGATCATCAACACATAAAAAATGTACACAAATAGCGATTGAATGATGAATCACATCTTGCTGAATTCCAACATAATTTAAAAGGTGAAAAAATTTAAAAGTGATTCGATTGTCAGACGGCTAACTAATTCTTGCCTATCTAATAACTTATAACGTTACCGGTAGCTAGAATGGAATTCCAGCACGTTTTAACCGCATGTTGCCCTTCCATTGATAGTTTCGTTATCTTACCGGGGTGACAGTTTGTCAATAACTATTCTGTAACTCACTTCATTTGTTTGTTTTCAATCTTTCGTTTTCGACAGGTTCTTTCAGCACGTTACAATTCTTTACAGTGCGCGTCCTTTTTCAATCGAGGAGAGAGGCGGATCCAATCTAAGTGAGCTGCGTGCTGTTTCAGCGGCTCCGGCAGCCGGCACGGAGGGCGAACAGCGCGACTGCGCCCTGGCCACCGTGAAGCCCTGTGTCGACACGCTGCTCGAGCAGGCCAACAACAACGTGATCGCTCACGCCACCAACAGCACTCTGCTCGACACGTGCCGGTGAGGCTCCAACGAGCGGCGGAGGCGTCCTATCGGCGCCGATCCGCTTTAGTTTTAACATGCTTCGCTGGGCCTGCCGATAGTGGTCCCATTAGCGACGCTTCAGCAGGGCACGTTAGCAACCAGCGGCCCATATCGGATAAGGTGCACGTGTCCTAGGGTAAATTGAATAAACCCGTGTCCAGCGTCCGTGCAGTTTGCTTTTCTGGTCACCCCCGTCAGTTGTTACTGCATGAACTGTGTATTAGTTAGTGTTTAGTTTACTTTTGACACACTAGTGACCAGTCAGTGCAAGCTGACGAGCAGCTGAGGCAACAGCAGTCTGAGATTTGGAAAGGGACGGCCCGTGACCAGCCCGGCCGACGCCTCAGTTGACCGGCCGGCGCTGCGGCGGTATCCCGTCCAGGGTCATCTAAGCTCCGTCTGACGGCTGGCTGACGCACCCGGCGTCCGCTGCGGTCGCCGCTGGTGATACGGTCCCCGCCCCCGTCCCCGGTCGCAGGCGGCCATATGGCGCCACCCCGGCCGCCCGGCCGACCCGTGACTGCACGCCGCGGCATGCCGCGTGGATCGCCCAAGTCTGGATTGGTCTGAGATCAGTCTAGGATCAGTCTGAGGTTAGTTTGGAATCAGTCTAAAACGTCTACAGGCTAATCTGAGGGACTGGAAAGACCTCTGACTGGTCACTAGTCAGAAGCTGAATTGAGACTGACCCGGCGCAGACACTGATTCTGGCCTGATCTGGCGATTGGTCTAATTACTGGTTTGAGGCCATTATGGGGTCTGGGCCCGACAGGCAAGTCCCGAGGTAGATAGATAAATGGTGGCTCTCAGTTTTGTTATATTGTTATGTGCAAACCTGCATTGTACTTACAGGATCGCTCAACCCCTCGGTTTTATACTCGGCTCAATCCCACACAAAAACATTGGGTATGCTCGGCGTCGTCTAACAAAATTAAGCCGGAGTTCAACAGAGTTGACGCATTCGTGACTTTGCAATCATTAAACGCCACGGGGCATTGACTGCTGTTTGTCCTCCCTCGAGTCGAACTGAGATGTCTCCTGTTCGAATGTGAGATGTAGGCAGAAATACTGCGGCTGGTATTAGCTGGACGAGTTCGAGCGCTTGAATGCCAACTAGCTGAATATCAATTAACTTAACAGCGACACGAAGTGGGAAACAAATGCGTAGCGATGAAACTTCGCAGCGACAGGAAAGCTGCGTGTCATTGAAAAGGCCACCTTTGCAAAATAAGCCGTATGTATTCTGAGTTTGGTTCACGCCACAGATACAGCATCTGATGGCTGGGGAGCTCTTTATCTGCCCCATCGAATAAAAACGTCGCCGACAATTCGGCCGCGGCAATCTCGTCTCCGGGCGGCAGCGAGAGAGGACGTTCGAGACATATTGCGGGCCACCGTGGCGGTCGTGCTCGGCAGGGCTGATAGCCGCCGGCAGAGTGGCCCATTTGACAGTCGGCCGGCGACAGTCGCGCCCCGCGCCCCGGGGTCGGCATTGGTCGACGGACGAGCTAACAGCTTCGCGGGACCGACTGACAGGGCCGCCGGACCAACGCTCAGGGCCGCCGGACCAGCTGACAGAGCTGCTGAACCATCTCAGTGAGCCGCTAGACCAGCTCAGAGAGGCGCCGAACCAGCTCCCAGCGCTGCGTGTCGCTGGACCAACTCAGCGCCGCGAAATGATCCCAACCTGAAGTAGAGGTTGTCACCAACTCTCAGGGCCACGAGACCAGCTCACATAGCTGCTGGGCCAACTCAGTGAACCGCTGGACCAACTCAGAGACGCCGGACTAGCCCCCAGAGCCTCGCGTCCCTGGACCAACTCAGCGCCGCGAAATGATCCCAACCTGAAGTGAAGGTCGTCCCTCGATGTCAGATTCCCAGTATGTTTGCAGCGCGCAGTTCACCGACCTCTTTTTGCCAAACGGGAAACGCCATCACCCCCACCCACCAGTCAGATGTCTACCCTCCCCAGTTCTCTCAAACTTTTTAGACTTTCGCCTTTCGGTTTCCAAGGCATGGCTGACTACTGATTGTGACCGCGTGGTCGACAGGCGGATCCAGGAGGCTATGAAGTGCGTCTCTGACTACATCAGTTCGTGCTCGACAAAAGCCGAGCGCGAGCAGTTCACCAAGACGGTCTCCTCGACCAGCGGTCTGATGGACTCGCTCTGTCAGCCGGGCAAGTTTCAGGACCGTGAGTACGCACCGGCCACCGGATGGGGGCGGGGTGTGGGGAGCCGCTGAAATCCACCAGCTGGCAGAGCGCTGTGCCGAGACAGCCCCATTCAGTACCGAGCGCCCAGCGAGCGGCCCGCTCGGCAACTGGTAGGTATGACAAACGGCGTCCCGTCTGGTGTGATGGGGCGCGGTCGGAGGGATGTTGATCAAGACAGCCCATATTCAGCCCAGATTCAGCCCGGATTCAGCCCAGATTCGGGACACCTCCGATCAAGCTGAAACTCGCACACAATGTAGGCCATGACGTGCCCAATCCACAGTCCAAGTCATTCGGCGGCACTCCCAGCCGTTTGACCTAGAGAGGTCAGCAAAGGTCACGTGGCCCAAATTTGCACAGCAGATTGTGGCACACCCAGTAGAGCTAGAGCGCTAAAAATGGCACCAATCGACTCGCCAGCATCTAATCTTACTTTCCCAACACTCATTTGACCTCTCAAGGTCATGCGATGACCTAAGGTCATTTGTGGGCTATGTCGAAAATACACTTGCACAGCAGTTTTCGAGTAGAGGAATTGACCGAATTCCAAATCAAAGCACATCATCGGGTAGCCCATAGGCCGTAGTAAATTTCCTTAAAAACCGCTTCTCGATATGTGACCCCGTTTGACCTCGGCAGGTCAAAATCCGCAAATAAACGACACTCCATCCGTCGCAGCCCGGATTCAGCCCAGATTCGGGACATCTCCGATCAAGCTGAAAATCGCACAAAATGTAGGTGCTGACATGCCCAATCCTCAGTCCGAGTCATTCGGTGGCACTCCCAGCCGTTTGACCTAGAGAGGTCAGCAAAGGTCACGTGGCCCAAATTTGCACAGCAGATTGTGGCCCACCCAGTAGAGCTAGAGCGCTAAAAATGGCACCAATCGACTCGCCAGCATCTAATCTTACTTTACCATTACTCATTTGACCTCTCAAGGTCATGCGATGACCTAAGGTCATTTGTGGGCTATGTGGAAAATACAATTGCACAGCTGTTTTCGAGTAGAGGAATTGACCGAATTCCAAATCAAAGCACATCATCGGGTAGCCCATAGGCCGTAGTAACGTTCCTTAAAAACCGCTTCTCGATATGTGACCCCGTTTGACCTCGGCAGGTCAAAATCCGCAAATAAACGACACTCCATCCGTCGCAGCCCGGATTCAGCCCAGATTCGGGACATCTCCGATCAAGCTGAAAATCGCACACAATGTAGGTGCTGACATGCTAAATCCACAGTCCGAGTCATTCGGTGGCACTCCCAGCCGTTTGACCTAGAGAGGTCAGCAAAGGTCACGTGGCCCAAATTTGCACAGCAGATTGTGGCCCACCCAGTAGAGCTAGAGCGCTAAAAATGGAACCAATCGACTCGCCAGCATCTAATCTTACTTTCCCAACACTCATTTGACCTCTCAAGGTCATGCGATGACCTAAGGTCATTTGTGGGCTATGTCGAAAATACACTTGCACAGCAGTTTTCGAATAGAGGAATTGACCGAATTCCAAATCAAAGCACATCATCGAGTAGCCCATAGGCCGTAGTAACTTTCCTTAAAAACCGCTTCTCGATATGTGACCCCGTTTGACCTCGGCAGGTCAAAATCCGCAAATAAATGACACTCCATCCGTCGCAGCCCGAATTCAGCCCAGATTCGGGACATCTCCGATCAAGCTGAAAATCGCACACAATGTAGGAGGTGACATGCCCAATCCACAGTCCGAGTCATTCGGTGGCACTCCCAGCCGTTTGACCTAGAGAGGTCAGCAAAGGTTCTGGCTGGTGTAGCCAGTAGAAACACTGTTAGTTACAGATATCTCTTGTATTTCGCCACAAAATCGAGACATATATAGTTTTACATACGAACTTAGTTATCTAGTATTGCACACATGTTGGCGAGAACATCGAATGTAATAAACGAATACATATGGTTTTTAATATACACATAGCCAATACAATTGTCCAAACAATACAGCAGTTTAAGCGAACGGAACGTTAAAAGGGGGGCGCACAACTTAATCGAAGGCTTTAGCAATTTAGAGACTGGTAAAAGCGACACCTATTAACAAAACTGTAACTCGCGGTTCACAGCATCTAGCGGCGACCGGCAGAAGTACATGGGCCTAGCGGTGACCGGCAGAAGTACATGGCTACATCACTCCCCCGCCCTAGTTAAACACCATAAAAAGATGTTTGGCGGCGAAGACGCGACGAACGACGGAGAGGGGGCGGCGAAGCAGGCGGCGGGCCCGGCGGCACGCGGCGAGACGGGCTAGAGCCGCCGGGGGCTCCTGAGCGGCTGGGTGCAGTAGGCGGGCGGTCCACCGAGCTGTCTGGCGCCGTAGTAGGCGTGTCGTTCACCAGGACGTCCGGTGCTGCAGGCGGCGTTGCGGCAGGCATGTTGTCCGTGAAGGCCGGTTTACACCGAGCCAGGGTGACGGTGTCGCGTCGCCCGAGACGGTCGATGGTGACGGTGTGCTGGTCGCGGGATAGGACACGATAAGGACCGTCATAGACGTATTGGAAAGGAGAGCGATGCGAATCGCGTCGGATGAAGACGTGGGAGCAGGTTTGCATGTCTTGAGAGATGAAGATTTGGCGAGAGCCAGGACGAGGAGGAGTTGGACGGAGCTCCGACATGGCGGCACGGAGACGAGAGGCTAGGGAAGCCGGATCAGAAGAAGTGTCCGACGACATGGGGGAGAGGAAGTCACCAGGAAGTCGGAGACTGCAACCATAGACTAGGTCTGCAGCGGTGCATCCGAGATCCTCCTTGAGGGCCGTGCGCACTCCGAGTAGCACCAGAGGAAGTCGGTCCGACCAGGAGGCGGCGTCGTCATCGGTCCGCAGAGCTGACTTCAGTTGGCGGTGGAAGCGCTCTACCATCCCGTTTGCTTCTGGGTGGTAGGCGCAGGTCCGGATCCGAGAGGTGCCGAGAAGCTTGGAGACTTCTGTCCAGAGGCGGGACTCGAACTGGGATCCTCTGTCGGTGGTGATGAGTTCGGGTACTCCGAAGCGGGCGATCCAGCCGCTGACGAGATGCCGAGCCACCGTGACGGCGTCCATGGTGGGCAGAGGAATTGCCTCGGGCCATCGGGTGAAGCGGTCGACGACAGTCAGGAGATAGGAGTTGCCATGGGACGGAGGAAGTGGTCCGACAAGGTCGATGTGGATGTGCAGGAAGCGAGAGTCAGGTGGCTGGAAGCTGCCCATGGGTGGCTTCGTGTGGCGCTGGATCTTGGCACGCTGACAGTGCTGGCAGCTCCGGACGAAGGCACGGATGTCCGCGTTGATGTGGGGCCAGATGAACCTCGATGAGATGAGATGACGCGTAGCGTTGATGCCAGGATGAGACAAGTCGTGGAAGCTCTTGATGATGGAAGGGCGGAGTCTGGCTGGGACTACAGGTCGAGGTGTGGCCGTTGAGGTGTCGCACCAGAGACGTAGATGCGGATGATCAGGGACTGGGAAGTCACGGATGATCAGAGATGAGGATTGTTGCAGCTTCGGCAGGTCAGGATCGTTGGCTTGGTGTAGAGCGATGTCGGCCAAGCTCAGAAGGCCGGGTGAGGGTGTAGCTGCGGCAGAAGCTGGCGCAGACACTGAGCTGATCCGTGAGATGGCGTCAGCTACCGGGTTGAGATGTCCAGGAACATGTCCGATCTTGCTGGTGTGCTGCAGAATCAGGTCCATGTGACGTTGTTCACGGAGAGAATGGTTGGCGTTGCCGTTGGCCTTGAGAGCAAAGACGAGCGGCTTGTGGTCCGTGAGGATCTCGAAGTCGCGTCCTTCCAGATAGGGCAGGAAATGTCGCACGGCGAGGTACATGGCGAGCAATTCCCGTCCAAAGGTGCTGTAGCGGCGTTGGGTGGGCGTGAACTTGCGCGAGAAGAAGGCGAGAGGCTGAAGAGAACCACCAACTCGCTGGTGGAGCACGGCGCCGGCTGCCGTGCTGCTGGCGTCAGTGCTGAGGCTCAGAGCTGCATCTTTGACGGGATGAGCGAGCTGGGTGACGTCAGCGAGGGCGGCTTTGGCTGCAGAGAAGGCGGCGTCTGCCTCTGGGGTCCACGTGACTGAAGCAGCTCGGTCGTCTGAGGCAGTCAGGCCGTGGAGAGGTGCCAGAAGAGCAGCAGCGTGGGGGATGAAGCGATGGTAGAAGTTGATCATCCCCAGGAACTTCTTGAGGCTCTTCTTTGACTCTGGACGGTCGAAGTTCTTGATCGCACTGACTCGATCGTCGAGAGGAGTGATGCCTCCGCTGGAGATCTGGTGGCCGAGGTAGGAGATGCTTTCCATGCCGAAGGCGCACTTCGATGGGTTGAGGAGCACACCGTTGCGGGAAAGACGGCTGAAGACCTCTCGGAGGTGTGTGAGATGTTCCGAGATGCTGCTGCTGGCGATGAGGATGTCGTCTACATAGACGAAGGCGAAGTCCAGGCCACGGAGGATGTGATCCATGAACCTTTGGAAGGTCTGGGCGCAATTCCGGAGACCGTACGGAATACGGAGGAACTCGAAGGCGCCGAAAGGCGTTGTGATCGCTGTCTTGGCGATGTCTTCTGGGGCCATCGGTATCTGGTTGAAGGCCCTGACGAGGTCGAGCCGAGAGTAGATCGATGTCCCAGCGAGGCAGGCAGTGAAGTCGTGGAGATGTGGTAGTGGGTACCGGTCAGGCACTGTGATGCGGTTCAGTGCACGGTAATCACCACAGGGTCTCCAATCTCCAGACGACTTGGGCACCATGTGCAGCGGTGATGCATACCGACTGCTGCTGGGTCGGATGACTCCGAGACTGAGGAGGCGCTGGAACTCAGCCTTGGCAGTGGCGAGTCGAGCTGGATCCAGACGGCGTGGGCGGCAGAAGACCGGAGGGCCGGTAGTCTCGATGTGATGTCGGACTGAGTGCTGTGGCTCCGGATGATGTGACGGCTGGGTGAGGCTGGGGAATTCTCGAAGGAGGTTAAGGAATGCTGGGTTGTCG